TTATTCATTTAATATTTTTAAGGAAGAGTCTAAACTATAATAAAAAATGTCTTAATAGCAATAAAAATCAATATGATTTGTTAATGTAAAAAATTTCGCGTGAAGTTATTGATCAGATGCGGTATAGCATAGACCTAATATTATACACATTTTCGCTGATATTTGGCATTTGTTTCTAAAAATTTGTTCGAGGAATTGGACTAAATAACTTTTATTCAAACTCAAGAGAATTGGATTGAACAACATTTATCTAAAATTCCGAAGGTTTTCCAAGAAATACAGATTTTATATCTTCCGTATACCTCGTCTGGGATAGTGTTACACTGTTTTACCATATGAAAATCATATAGAAATTATCACACATTCGTTTTAACTACCGCTAGATATTATCGCTTACTATTTTACCTATTGACGGATTGCCTACTTTATCGACTAATTTGCTACTTTATCGATGAATAGAAATTCATCGAATGATGAAATTCGGAACGAATAAAATTGCATCATCAAAAAACTGAATTTAATGCGACAGAAATGTAAAACAAAGTAATTGTAAACGAGTTATGAAATTCTATACTTCGCTAATATATTATTTTTATGTTTATCCAACAATTAGTTAGAAATTTTGAACACTGATTTTAATTTCGACATGCAAATGTATATGCTGCTCGTGGTTATTATGTTCAGTATAAAAATGATAAGACACAACCGATTACCCATGTCCTTCAGAATCGTTCGTTCTACGACATGGTGGAAGCTTGGTAGAATTGTAAAGTTTGCGACTCACCGTTCGTAGATCATTTCGTCCTATTAATACAGCTTACAATTAACAGCACACTGAATATCCAACTCCTTGTAGCACTAGTGTGTTATTTTCTATCCATTTTGATTAGAATTTGTTTTATTTTCCTGAAATTTCACCAGCACACCACACGATCGTGAAATTACGCGGGAACACGTACGTCACATACCCTTCTGAGCATGAGCACTAACAACGTGTGTCAAAGCAAATATTAAAATTTTGTGTACAAATTATGATAACTTAAGATGTAAAAATTTATAAATTATTATAAAATATTAGTTAATTAATAAAATTATTCAACATATAAATATTGTGCATGTGAAGTGACTACTCCAATTCGCTGCCCTTCGATAGGAATTTTGACTAGTTTAAAATTACACGTATATGGTTATAATGCCTTTGCGAATAGTTTTCAATAATAGCATCGTAATAGTTTTCAATAATACAACTTATTATTACAATATAAATTGAGAAAGAGTTGAGTACCGACTTGGAACAAGCATTGTTGGAACATTTGTGTAATAATTGGATTATTTGTATAAATCAAAGATATTTCCAGATTTGCAGAAATTTTAACATTATCTTGGATGAAGCAAGCCATGGAAATTATTACACAATAATTCGTTAACAGCACGTCACAGTAACGTCACAATAATGGTGAGATATTTTTAAATATTACATATAATAAATTTGAATAACTGCTTTCAGTTTGTAAATTTAGTATAAGTTTACTATTAATAATTACACTAATATCATTTTATGAATATGTTTATTCAATCACGATATATTTTCAATCGTGAAATGACGTCGTATATATATTGTTCAAAGCCTATATAGAAATTCAGAGTTAAATAGTTGTATTTTCCATTATTTTTTCTTAATATCATTATTTTCTTAATATCAGCAACGTTTTTCTATCTGTGTCATATAGAAAATAAGAGTGGGAATGGCATTGTATTAAAAATGGTTTAATAAGGTTATATCGATCTCACATCTTATCTTCGGTGAACTATTTTTATTATCAGACGGTATTTATCTTATTATAAATTTTGTTTTTATCGTTTTAAAGACTTCTCTGCGTTTAATAAATTATAATTAATCGTATAGCTAATAAAGTCCAGTATTATAAAATGTAAAATAAAATTGAAAACTTAAATAATTTTTTAATTATCTTTACAGGATTATTACTGCTAGCTGATACGCTGATCACTTATCTATGATCGGTAACATAGTTTCAATTTTAAATTAATATATTGTGGCTGCATTTATGCATTTGTTATACACTTTCAAGATACTAATTATATTAGAGGTCAATTTTCTTATTGAATTAAATATATATATACCAAATGGAATTGTGAAAATGGTATGAATTTTAATAATATAGTAATGAAATTTTTACGCGAATGCTACTGAAACGACTGTAAACAAACTATACAAATCTGCGTATTTCCAAGCTTTTCCCTTATACATGTTGGCTTACAAAATATTTGCCTTAAGAAGTATATTTCTTTCTCTGACTCTACTAAAGTCTTATGGTGTTGCCTCAGGGTGACTGCTTTTCATGAGGACTCTGAGAAAATTACTCTCAGGAGTAACCTTCCTTTCATTAAAATATGGTTCTTGAAAGTTTATTTCGTACATAATATTTGAATTACTTTAAACACAATTTGAGGATAGAGTGAAAATAAAGAGAAACTTGCTTAATTGATTTTTTCCACGAGAGCTTTAAACTTTGAATTTCATTCGAAATTTTATAAATTCTGTGTAATAAATTAAATTTGCATAATGGACGTCGATTACTAGATATTCTGAATCAAGATTCTTCTTATCATTTTATGAAATGAATTTCCAATTCTTCCTCGCCTAGTAGATAAGATATCTTTTATAACATAATTAGAGATAAAATTAAGTTCATTAAGAAAAAGAAATATTTAATGACTTTTATACGAATATTAAAATTTACAATAGTTATGACTGTTAGAAACAGAAAATTTTATTCTTTTTAAAGCTATTTAATTCTCTATTAAGATAAATCAATTTTAAAATTGTTTCTCTAATTTATTACACCTGTATATGTAATAAGATAAATCAGACAAAGAATTCGAACGTTGGAAAGGCAATTTGATTTTTCAAATTGTCATTAAGTGTACATTGGTCATTTGTTTAAATCCTATATGATGAGACATTTTAAGAACTTATAGAAAAAATCTTATATAAAACTGCATAAAACTGGATAATACAATATCTTCGAAAAATCTAATTTTCATTCGAACCAAATAACTTTTGAAGAATTATATTAGACACCTGGTTTACCCTATTTTCTTTCACTGAAACAGTAACTAATTTGTTGCTATCGCAGCAAATAGCTATTTATTTAAATCCTTTCAGGCACTGACATTAGCTTCGATAACAATTTCCATTACGACAGTTTTCAACTCCTGATTTAAATTAAATTAATTATAAAATCAGAGGATAGTTCGAATTTTCTTTTTCCTTTTGTACAGCTTTCAAGTAGATACCATTGAATCAACGAAGTTTTAAAGTATCGATGCCTATACAATAGAAAAGTAAAACACAACAGAGGAGAATAACAATAACTCTATACAGATTAAAAAGGAATAAAAAATACTAGTGGAAATAAAACACTTAGAAACAGAAATTACATTCTCTTCATATATATTGCACGTATTGAGACCCATAATTTGCTCATTGAATATACAATTCCTCGATTCATCTCCAACTATCAATTATCCATTTGCACAATTCGGCAACCCTTAATTTAATTGAATATACATGATAGGCCATAAATTTTTATTCCTCAAAGCCACATTAAACTGAAACTCTGTGATCCGCTTGATCAAATATTAATCATCCTGTACTGTACGGTAACAAATTTCCCACGAGCTATAATCTAATCTAATCGTGTCGATATAACCGTCTATCCCTGTATCTCTCCAAAACCCGTAACTTCGTTTCCCCAAATAATAATCCTCAGCCATTGTCACCCACGTGTTAAAATTTTTCTACCCCCGCAACGTTCCCTTTTGTGTCGCACGCGAGAGAACGCGCCACCGTGGCGAGTTGAGAACAAACAGCTTTTGTAACTGGGTAGCTAATTAATTCCTCATTGTGCTAATTTACGACGATACAGAGAGTGCAAGGACGGTATCGCGTAATTAGCACCTGGTCACAAAGGGGCGGAGCGGAAGGGTGTAGGGATTTAAATGAAATACGACAGCGGGACGTTATAAAATCCGTATACTTGCGATACTTTCTACATTTTACAGATATCTATGCGTCGATAAATACAGACAGGATACCGTAATGACGAGAGGAAGACTATTCTCTACGATCGATTATTATTTAATCTTTGGTGATTTCTACGAAGTAGATGCGAATTTTTATTTACGTATGCGTGTTTCCGATTGCAGTCAATTGCAATAGATTTTCATTATCGTTGTTACTCAGGTAAATAAATCTTCTGTATTTTTTTTTTTTTTTCTTTCACTTTGTTTTATTCGAGTAACGATTTGTTCGAATAACTTATGCAGTCGTTTGTGCGTGTGGTATGCACGATTGTTCAAGTAAAATGGCCGACATATGCGAATAAATGTATTATTCGGATTATTGTGGGTCTTAGTATTAGGAAAATCTGAATGACTTAAATATTGCAGATGAAAGAAATTTTGGAAAGGGACCAAGAATAAAATGTAACTTTGGGAACCGACATATTGGACAGTGGCAATTGACATATAAACTTAACCATATCAACTAAACGATGTCACGTAATTTTGCTTCTGAAAATTATTTGATATTCGTATCTCGATCTTCATTAAAAAATCATTTATTTCTTTGTCCGGGCAAAATCTTGCTCTTCTTTAGATTTTACAATACCAAAATTTACCACTTACAGTTCCAAATTTGATATTTATTATTAAAATAGAAATCTGTTGATTTAAATTTGATTGAAATTAAAAATTGTAGTTTTTTTGGTCAGCTTCTAAATTATAGTCTATTAGTTTCTATCGTATAAAAATTTTTGTACTGATAGTTGGAATTATATGTAATTGTATTTATTATTTTTCTCTCGAAGAATTGTTCCTAATGAATTCCAAATAATAACGATATTCGCATTTCGTTTATTTACCAGTTTAAATTGTATTCATCAATTTGAAATTATTAAAAAATTTCAACGGTGCCCGCGAGATTGCACATTTCGCATAAATTAGATGAATGCGATCGATGTGAGTTGCTCTATTAGATAAATCACAGTGATCCTCGTTACGATCACGACTGAATGGTGTACGTTTCAACGTTCGTTTCCCGTTCTTCACGTCCTCGACGTGTCTTTCTTCCAATTAGCCGGGGCTGGTAATTTCCGATTGCTGCGATCCAAATTGGTTCTACTTTTGAAGCATTTTCGACAAGTTAATCGCCAGAATGCAAGCCTGAAGTCGGCCGAGTAGAAGGCGTAGATGAATGGATTTATAGCTGAATTAATCCATCCTGAAATAAGTAGAGAGATTAATCAATTGAATTAATTTCCATAGAATAAATTTAATTTTATTATTTATATTGATACGAAATATATTCTTTGGTGATTTCGTTTCGTTTGAAAATTTATCGAATGTGTACTATTGATATCTTAAATAAGATATAAATATTGGAATATTAATACTTTGTTATTGTGCATATTTGTAAGAATCGTTGTTCTTAAATTTGTGCTGGTATAGTTAAATCAAACTTCATAAAAGAAGAAACGGAGAATGAAAAATTAAAAAATTAAAAATGATACACTTTATGAGTAGTAAATTATGAAAAGACTAGAAGACCTTAATTAGCAATTAGAATGGGAGAAATAAAAATCTGAAAATGTGTGATACTTCTAGAGTACACAATCATTGATCTTCATACTCGAGAATATATTAACATTATGTAATAATATGATAAGATTGGAATTTTATTGGGTAGTACTTCATTCTCTATAATTCTCCTACTTTAGACTTTCGAATTTCAATTTATTTTGATTAATAAAACATAAACTCTTCAGAAAAATAGAATAGATCCGAAAGTGGGTCGACCACTTTATTGCCTCGGAAGGAGAATCATTTTTCACTTTTACAGTTTTTCTTCTACCCGAAAAAGATAAGAGAAGAAACTATTATGGTCAGTTTAGTTCATGACAGCCACTAAATATCAATGAAAACTTCCAATTTAGAAATAACCGAGTTTCTTTTAGTTAGGATTATAGATTACCGGGTAGAACGTCAAATAAATTAACGGTAACTATATTTAATAACAAAATAATAATGAAATAATAATAATTTAATTGTGACGTGACTTTTGCTTTATACGAAAATCGTTTTGTTAAAAAATCTTATTATTTCTGGACTTTGAACTCTATTTCTGTCATCTCCACTATACTGCCTTTATTTCTCGTGACCATTTATCCTTACACATTCTCTTTTCTCTATATTGTTCACTCAACGCTATCGTTTCTGGAAGATGGGGTTCTTGAAAATCCACCCAAAGCTTTGGATGGTTTCATCGAGCATACCAGAATCTCGAGCACTTAGTCCAGAGTCTGTTTTCACACCTTTAACACTCTCAGCTAGGCATAGTCTGCAGAATCGATATAGCCTAGTCACGAAATCTCTCAGAAGCTTAAGTTTACACGTTTCTGGGCTATAAACATGCAATTTGAGATATTTTGGTGACACAAGAACCTCCTGCCCCTTTCAAAGCCACACGATGTCAAGTTGACTCTTTCTCTATATAGACACTGGTAATATAAATTTCTTCCGAACAGATAACGTTTACATACATCCTTTCATAATTTCAATCGACGAATAACTAAAATATCCATTTACAACTGACATTTGCAACTCGAGAGTGAAGACTCATGTCGGCGTGGTTACACCAGTAACCAGTAAGTGTTGCCACTTAACGCTCTAATTTGCAACAGCGCCATAACGACCCCGCCAATTGTATTATACCACTCGTTCTACTACTACGCATACGCATACAATCACTCGACACATATCTATCATTTCCATACCGCTGTATAAATCTAGTAAATCACCTAACATCACCAACGAGGATCAGAAACTGAAACGATATGAAAACAAGAAATTACAATTACAGAAGAGATATATAATTGAAGAATAAGTAATAGAATCAATATAAAATCGGAGAATGGCAATTATAGCACCTATAAAAATTGATATAATACTAAAAAGAGAAAAAAATAATAATTTTTAATAGAACCGATATGGAACCAAAAAATAATAATTCTAAACTCGATCGAGAACCTAAAAAGCGACAATTATAGAATCGGTATAAAAGTAAAGAATAATAGTAATTAAAAGCCTATTACAGATCAGGTCTAGCACCAAAAAAGAAAAGAAAATAGCAACTATAGAACAGATAAAATTCGAAGAATGAGTTATAAAAGAAATATAAAAACAGAACGACAATTATAGGGCAGATATAATGCTGAAGCAAGAAAAAAATATAGAACTGATATGGAACCAAAAAATAATAATTTTAAACCCGATCTAGAACCCAAAACCAACAATCATAGTAAAAAATAGAAATAAATATATATAATAACAATATATAAAACTAAAAAACAGCAATAATTACAGGCCTCTTACAGAACAGGTCTAATACCAGAATAGTAGAAAAGACAAGTTACGGAATGGATACAGGACCGATATAATATAATATCGATTCTGAAGATCGGTTTCCTCTCTGCACAAAGTGTCCACGATTCTATTGTCCCAAATCGTATCAAGAGCAACCTCACAATCAGCTGAAGGAGGACGGTGGTTACCTACCTAGCCAAGTTAGCGCTGGCATGAGGATATCTGGTGGCTCCACAGGCACGAAAGGGGTGGCCAAGTAGAGGATGAAGAATGGCAACCAACAGGCCACGAATCCCCCTACGACCACCGCCAAAGTGCCAGCGGTTTTTGTCTCCCTCGCCACTCTGTTGATGCAACTCTGCTGATGGCTACGGACGATCCCGGACCTTTTGCTCGTGCTCGGGGGTTCTGCTTCGTCGGAGGCCCTGTCGCAGGTCACACTGGTGGTCACGCATTCCGTCCTTCGGACTCTGATGCTCCTGGCTCGCTCGATCTGTGGAAAATTGATACAGTTTGATCGAGTGAAACATTTTTCTGGGATAAATGTAATATCAGAAAGAAAATAACGTAAAATTCGATACAGAGATGAAGTACAGACTATTTCTGACTCTTTTAATTTGGCTATTGATTTAGGTAGTTTGATGTTTGTTACAGCCGATGCTAAACTTTCGTAGAAATTAAAGCACTATTTGTTCCTGAAAGCAATCCAGCGTACCATATGCGTAATGGTAACAAAACATTTACACAGAATTAACATGTAAGATAAATATGCAACACGGGTAACACGCGTGTGTATATATTTACGAAAACGCCATAGGAATATTAGTTTTTGTAAAATTAAATGGGAGTTGGGAAGAATTCTATTAATTTAATTTATTTAATTTATTTATCATATTCGTTCCTCTTTGCATTTGACGTTGCGGTCTCTCAGGAAGAATTTATTCGATGTCACTTTCTCGATGAAATGAGAAATATTCGTAGGAAGAAGTAATTATCCAACTAGTAACTACTTCCTTTAAGTAAATATTCCCATGAAATGTCACAGCAACTCTCCTTCGAATCTTTACTGGAACACAATTTTACGTTGAGCCAATTAAAAAGTTCGAAATAATGTTTCTGCGATCGTTGGAGACAGTATATTTCTGACATTCATTAGCATAATAAATATAAATGTAAGATAGCACTCTAAGGTATTAATAATAAGCTTTTTGTTATTATTCCCTTTGTCTTTGTTATAAGTAACTGTCATCATAGTTGTTCAAGATTTAATGAATCACAAGTAAAAACCAAGGTTCGCTGCTTTATTAATTACTTACCCATGTGTTTTATTATTATTATTATTTTTTTTTAAATTATTTATTTTCTTGAGAAACTTAATGCACATGTTACATAAATTATTATTATTGTTGGAAAATGTGAAATATCGTACGAAATAGAGATACGTAGAATATATGAAAGCCATGTAAATATAGATGTACAATTTTCACAATTTTTTTTTCAGACTCATCATGGTAATAAGGCACGAGATTTTGGTATCACTGTCGAAAGCAATATCGAGCAAGTCTACGCTTCCATATTCATGAGTTTCGCATTACGTGCTGGAAATCTGTCGAACGGTGTCGTCGTAACAGGTTTGTAAGCATTAGTATCAATAGATTCAAATTGCGAATCGATTTCTCATTTATACCACTCTCGTCGGGTCTTTCCGAACAAACTGGAATCCGCGTCTGATTCATTCCTGCAGTTACCAAATCTGGCACGTTCTAAAATTTTCGAAATTCAACACATCCAACAGATTTTCACAATCACGTCACACACAACAACACATCGAACGAAGTTCAACAAATTTTCGAAATTGTTTTTCGTCATTAAAAAATCTTTAAGTTGTAGATCTCTCGCAGATCGTGTAATAATATTTTGCCATTTTATATTTTCAAATTTTGCTCTCTTCGGAATTAAAAGAATTAAAATGCAAGTTTACTTCTTGGCATATTAATAGATTTGAAATTTATCCTTTCAGTCGAATCATTGACAATTTTCTTTTGCTTGAAAATTTTTTTCGAGTTTAATCTCATAACAGTATACATAGATTGATTACAGATGTAATTAATCTGATTGTTTTATTTCTTTCTAAATTTTGTTTATTTCGAAATATTTATTTCTTCATTTATAAATAAATTTAACACTGGAACTACCGATCTTTAATGGGCACCAATACATAGCAGGTATAAATAATAGTAATTTCAGTGATACGATTATGATAAGTGAATATATTAATTATAGTTCTATCTCAATGTGAATAGATATTAATTTTTTTTAAAACAGGTATATGTATTTAATAATTGTAAAGAGGAAAATTCAGGGACAAGTCTTTTTGACTGGATTGGTAGTTCAAGTGTTAAAGAACACCTAACCCAAGGTGAAATATTTGAATAACTACAATAAAAACTGTAATAAAATAAAAAAAACCGGAAACAAGAAGAAATTTGAAGTAAACGCGAATTTTTATCAATTACAATATAATAATAATATTACAGCAATCTAAACAAACTCATTGTCAGACAGTCCTCACGATCATGAAATTCAATACAAACCCTCGGAAATAAACAAATATCTGCTAAATTAAAGGAGAAGGAATTTTCAAAGGACCTAGAATCCATAATCAAAGTAATTTTTGAATGACTCGTTCAACAAATCCTGAAATCCTGCTTACCAAAACATTGCGACGTGGTCGAATGTTTTCGTTCTCTGTGGCTTCGAGATTTCTGTGCCGACTGGCAATCACGCAAGATATTCTGCCGTAAACGTAGAGCATCACCAGCATTGGCAGGAAAAACGAACCCATGGCGGAAAATATCACGTATGAAGAGTCCATGTTGTACGTGCATTTTTTACTGTCACGATCCGTTGCACGTGGGAAACATCCGAGCAGAGGTGGACTCGCGATAGCTCCGGCTAGCACCCATACCGCGACGATCATCAGCCCGGCCAATCTCTTGCTGCGTCGTCGTCGGCTGTATATCAGAGGCTGAGTTACTGCTAGGTACCTTCAAGGAAAATTAAATTCATGTAGGAAGCACGTGGGAGAACACGAACGCGAGAGGATTCGAACGTAAGTTTCTAATTGAAACAAAGACAGCCCCATTTCGCCTGCTCCAATTCTAATTGCAAATTTTAGAAAATAATTCCACCGTACATACTCCTAATGCATTTATTACGGACACGCATCATATACTTGTACCACCGGTAACATAATGATCGAGGAATGAAAATAAAAATAGCTGAAGGTGCTAAAATTAAAGTTCCAGGGAAAACTCGCCTTTTTGGAATATCTTCCTATGCATGATATTATTCCAATCGCTTGTTACACGTTAATTTAGGTAGTATTCTACTAGAATTTATGATTGATGAAACATAATTTTATAATAGCACTTTATAAGAGCACTAAAATACTTCTTAAAGGAGGTTCAAATATTTGTATTATATATGCATACGAGCGTGTAAACGTTCCAAATTTCATCGGTGTACACTGGAAGACTTCTACTTCTCAATGAAGAGGCTGCAGACTTGAATGAGTTAACTACAGATCGATACAAATTGGTCGGATACAAGATAGTTGGGACCTGATCGATCAGTTAATTTGTAAGTTTTCAGTCGATCTGTATCTTTCAGGTAACAGAAAATCTGCCATGAACTTGGAACGATCCCACGCTTCCACGAGGAAAAAAGATTCTGTGTCCCTAAACGGGGTAGCTTCTATCTCGGAAAATTGACCAACAGCCTTTGCCGCTAGCGTTGGACACTCTATTCGCGAGCAGTAAAATTTTCCTCGGTAATCTCGTTCCATTTACGTGCCATGCTTTGGGAATCCGACGACTCACCTATCTATGGATATGGCGCATAACGATAGAATGCTGGCAGTACAGAGAAGAACATCGAGGGAGACCCACGAGTCGCAGAGCACCTCGCCCAACATCCAGGTACCACCTGTGAGCTTCGTCAAATTCGTTTTATTAGACATCTCTTTCGAAATTCGCGCGCCTGTTCATGAATCTTTAAACGTACTGGGATTCGTGTTTTACTCCTCTAGTGTCTAGTGGCGTTGATATGGATGATTTTTATGCGAGACACGAGATTTGCGATGATAATTACCGCTTGTGCTATAGTTTGCAGTGGTTTGGAGTATTTCGTAAAGTATATTGGAGAATGATTTACGGTAGAAATACGAAACTAGGTAAAACGAGGAGTTTTGGATATTTAATTGCGCGAATTATTGGAAACGTATTTGTCAGTAATTATGATAGTCTAATAAGGAGAATGCAAGTCCTTCGGGTCACCGATTTAGTTGAAACTTTGCAAGTTTGTAGATTTCGTCATGCAGTTCAAGAATATATATCATTATAGCCGCAACTATTCAATAATTTTCGGGATATTTACGATTAAAGTTTTATTACTTCAGTATCTACAGATGTATTTCCAATGGTTTTCAAGTGGCATTGTGGCATAATAGGGACACCCAAAAATACCTATAAATCACGTCCGGCAGTTCGTTTCCGGTCCATAGTTAGTACTTTTTACACTCTATTTTTTATTTTGTATTCATTTCTCGCCTATGAAAACATTCTAAATAAACAATTGTAAATAAAATTTCTTAATAAAAAAAATATATTTTTTACGTTTTCTTCTGCAAGTATATATTTATTACAAAATAATAAGAATATTATGCAAGAAAAACAATTTTCTATAACAATCTTATTTACTACAGAAAGAAAACGGAAATATAAATAATCATTAGATACAGGAAATACAAAACTTTTGTCCATGCAGAAGTGCCTGCATCACGAAAAGAATGTAAGTATGTGTATCAACATAACCTTTAGTTGTAATTAAATAGTTAAGTCATGAACCATTGTTCTTCCACTTTCATTAATGATAGCTGAGCTTGCTTCAGAAAAGACAATATTCTGTTGAAATAAACAGGCACGTGGAACAATAGAAAAATATTGAACTCATGGATTGTCAGTGGCATAGATGCCAAGAATTATACTTTATAGCAAGAAAAAATAGAAGCAGCAATACAAATATGTAAAGTATGATATGTCTATTGAATTCTAAATCGATTAACCATGTGACATACAATATAGAAATCTTTTATGGCCAAATAAAGATTTAGAAAATGGAGATCGTTTAGGCAGACAAAAAGGAATACAATTAATTTAGGTGATAGCCTCTTGTAACAAGATATGGAGAATACAATGAGATTGAAAGGTATGTTGTATTCCTGACCTAAATGAATATTAATATCAGTGGCCAAAGTTACTGATCATTGCTAACATGTTAAGTTTCAGAATAATGGAGCAGAGGTATATAAAGAAAAGGGTGAAGTTCGAATGAAAGCACTGAGAAGAGGAAACACCTATTTTGCAGAATCAAGAAACAGAAAAGAGGCAGCATATGTATCAACAGAGAAAAATGTGTGGCATCGACATGGAAATCTGAATATCACTAAAGAAATGGAGAATGAGCAAGTGGTAATAGTTATGATAGGTAAAGTTAAATTGAATATACAGTGTAAATGTTGTATTAAGGCCAAAATGTGTAGAAGTATCTATAGGAACTTGGAGACTACAGAAGTAGCAAGTATAATGGTGCTGTGACAGATTATGGACTTCATTAGGCCAATAACGCCAATGTCAAAAGGAGGTAGAAGGTATGTCTTACCTGCTGATGATTATTCTAGAAAAGAACCATTTGGTTGACTGATTTATAAATGACTAAATATTTAATATGAAATATTTATGAAGGATTTTCTTTATTATAGGAGACTTACAAACATGAATAATATTTATATGCAAGAGCCAGCCACTAAGGGTAAAGTAGTAAGTATCATTTAATAATATTTCAATGGATTGTATATCTATTCTTAAAAATTTAACCGATATACAATATTTACTTTCTAAATTTCTATGTTAATGTATTAAATAATTTATAATTTGAATTACAATAAAAAATAATAAATTTTAATAAATTTAATTTTAAAATTATTTTACATTAATCAGACTAATGCATTTGTTATAACTAGGTTGTAATGAAAACAACTGTTGGTGATGTTGAGTTCGAATTATGGGCAAAAGAAACTCCAAAGGCATGTAGAAATTTCATACCATTATGTATGGACGGTTATTAAGGTGACACTATCTCTCATAGAATTATCAAAGGATTCATAACACAGGGTGGTGATCTCATAGGTACCTGAGAAGGTGGTAAAATATATGGAGAACCATTTAAAGTGAGACTATATTTAAAAATAAAATGAGTTCCTTTTTTATTGAAAAAATAATTATTGGATATATATGTTTTAGGACGAATTTCATACACGATTATGTTTATGTCGACGAAATTTAATTGCTATGGTTAATACTGGAAAGATGACAATGGTTCCCAATACTTCTTTATTCTTAGTTCTACACCAAATTTGCAGAATAAGCATGTAATTTTTGGTAGACATTGGAGAATCTATATATAGTATCCTTAAACTTGAAGAAGCACTTGTAGATGAGGTAAATTTAATGTTTGCGAGAATATATATCGAGAATTGATATAAATATAACATTTCGTCTGTTTTGTAGATTGATGAACCGCTTTGTCCTCCAAGATTGATGAAAACTATAATATTGAACAATCCATTTTCTGATATTATACCAAGAAATTAGTACAGGAAAGTGAAGAAGTAAAGGACAGTTCAAAACCTAAAATAGCAGCAGTAAAGTAAAAATCATATATGTTTGCAGAATTTAGCCCTGATAGTATTGTTCTTTCCGATGAAAAATTTTGTTACAGAGATTTTATTTTTTTATCATTCGGTGGAAAAGCAAAGGAAGATGAAGAAGAATATGTGATATTAAATAAAAAGTTTAATGTTAAGGGCAAATCAGCTCATGATCATTTAACTGATCCAAAATTGAGCTCACAACCAGCTGTTGCATCACGTGAACGTGCAAATAAAAAAAGGCAGGACGGCCGCTTTAGCTATTGGGAAAGTGACGACGAAGTAAAAACTCAAGAAGAATTAGAAGTTATAAAGGAAGAGAAAGAGTTAGTATATTATTTGCATTATAACTGTGTTATAAGAAAGTAGGAATTTTTATTGACTGTCTCTTATATTTATATTTTCAGAACAATGAAGAAAAGAATAAAAATACTTTGAAAGATACAAAAAAGGAACCGAAGAAAGTATAAAATTATAAAATGGATGATGTTGAAGATGATATAGATATAAAGGAAAATGAATAGGGAATAAAAAACTGCTTATGAGGTTTAGCACAAGAGAAAGCCGAAGCGATGCACGATAAGAGATATGAAGAAGTATTAGGATAACTCGTGTATTTGAATAGAATCATTTGTCATATGTTTATAAATATTGTTATATATCTATATGGTCATTGTAATGATAATTATTACGTGATATGTATTAGGAAACATCTTTTTCTTGTAACGGTCCGTGATACGAACATCTATTCAGATTCTAATGTCTATATGTCATTGTTTATTATGTCGTTAATAATTAACGTGTATATGTAAAACTTTCAAAGTGAATAAAAAGTATTTTAACGTATAAACATAGCAGTTTCATTTTCTTTTTACCAAGAACAAAACCACGCATCTTCATCTGTGACTTCATGTTCGACGGGCTATTAAGAGATTTCAAAAATGGAAGAAATATGTGTTATACTTATTTATGTCCTTGTATTGTTTTGTTTCTCCCGCCCTACGGGTCACGTGGTTATTCATCCGGCAGTTTCGATCAGCGCCATCTATTATTTGGCTCCAAATGCTCCAAAAGTGATAGGAATATAGAATAGGCAAGGAGGTCGTAGGTGTCCTGGTCACGTGGTAGAAAAGGACAGAGAGGGGATAGAAAAGGATAGACTGGCTCCGGCAGTGAAAAATTATTAATTACTCAATTTCCGTAAACAATTTGTGAACTTTTATAATTTCATTGCAAAGCTGGAACTTCAGGCTACATTCTTATACAATTTCCGTAAAGAATTTAACTCCAAATTATTAGGTATTAATTTTTGTTTTATGGCGTCTATGATTTCGTAACGGCGACCATGGCGATCTTCCGGGGAAATATATAATACCAAACCAAACTGGAAACAAAATGTGATCAAAAGTTATATGAGAAAATTCGCAAGAACATTGTCTTTCCAATGAGTGCACAAAGTTTCATAAATTAATTGCGTGGGGTATAGTAATTAATGAGAAACCAATGGCGTTTCGGATAACAATTCAAACACTGTGTAGAATATTAATTAATAATTAATTAATCAGGGACAAATATATATCGAAAAATTTATAGGAAAGTTCTTAAAGGCTCTGCCTTTACGATGCAATTATAAAAGTTCATAAATTAATCGCAAATATCGAGTAATTAGTGAATTCTTCACTGCCGATTTGATTTATTAAAATATATGCGGAGCACATAACCAGAGTTAGTAAGCTGACATCAGAGCCATCTATGACTCTAGACTCATAGCTCGAGTTCCGTAACGAGAACATAGATGGCTCTGATGGTAGTTTACTAACTCTGGTTATGTGCTCCGAATATATTTTAATATACTTTAATAAATCAAATCAAAAAGTTTTCTACATTCTTTATTGAATGTAGCAGGAACAGAGGATTCATTTAGACAAACAGCATTTATCTTTTTACTTTGCGGTCGATAAATATGCAAAGGTACACATTTACAACGCTATTATAAAATTTCATAAATTAACCACAGGAATTGAGTGATTTACTAATTTTTCTCCAAATGAACAGGAGAGTGCATGGAAAATGAGAAAAAACTCCAAACAAACGACAGAAGCATAGTTGTGTCCTTGCAGCTGTGCCTGCATCACAAAAGGAATGTAAGTATTTGTATAAACATAACCTTCAGTTGTAAACACATGGTGTAAGATATAAGGCATTGCTTTTCCATCTTTCATTAG